AGGATGATCATCTTGGCTTTACACGCCACCTAAATGTGATGGGGAACTGATATTTACAGTGCATCTACCGGGGTCTCTGTATTTTAGATAAAAGCCTTACATCACTTTGTAAAATGTTAAGTATGATTATCCCCTTCTAACAAAGAGGGAAATTGAGACTGTAGTCAAGACTTGGAACAGCCTTATCAAATCCTGGTGGGCTTTTTCAATAGCAAAAGTCAGAAACCCAACTAAAACTAACTTCAGCAACAAGGAGAATTTGTTGGTTCATGGAGTATAAAAGTCTAGACATATTGCTTTCCATGTGGTTGGCCCTAGGTCAAGTTGTTTATTTTTGTTTTGTTTTGTTTTAGTATCTATTTTTCTTTATTTACTTATTTGGCTACACCAGGTCTTAGTTTCAGCATGTAGGAGCTAGTTCCCTGACCAGAGATTGAACCTGGGTCCCCTGCATTGGGAGCATAGAGTCTTAGCTACTGGATCACCAGGGAAGTCCCCACCCCCCATTTTGATTCCCTTTTTTAGGTAGGCCCTTCTGCTTGGGTGGCAAAATGACCACTAACAGCACCCACAGTGACTGTCCCTTTCTCAGTGGTTCCAGCAAAGTCCCAAGCCTGCTCCTCACTGGCCTGCATGTGGTCACGTCCCTGAACCACTCACTGTGATGACCGTTTAAACCTGCACACGTGCCCGTCCCTAGAGGGGCATGGAGGTCACGGCCACCCAAACTAAGGAAGGGAGAGCTGTCTGGAGAAAAGAAAATGACAAAAAAAAAAAAAAGAAAATGACAGGCCACAAGGGACAAGAGTAGGAGGGGTGCTGAGCAGGCCAAGACAAGGGAGGTGCCCTGTCCACCCTTTCCAAAGTCACATGCTGCCAACACCAGGTACCTCCTCACTTCCTAGTGTGGGTGGGGAGAGCAATGGGGGGTTGGGGCATTCACAGGGAACCTTACATGCTGGATCCACAGAGGGATAAGGGAGAGGGAACCAGGGCCGGCAAAGAACCAGAAGGTGGGCAGAAAAGGCTCAGGTGGCACTAGGCTGGGGAATCCAGGGCTCTAGCCTCACCCCCCATGGAGCTGGTGCACTCCTGGGGCTGTGCCAGTGGCCCCCCAAAAGGTCCCTGGCCTCTGGGAGACAGGGCCCCTGAAAAGCACCAAGAACATTAGGTTTTCTCGGGGAACATCAGGACGCGGCTGAGTGTCCAGGGCACAGAGTTTAGGAGGCACTCACCCTCGGGGTTGTGCAAAGTAGGGTCTGTACCTGGGTGGGGAGGGGGTGGAGGGGGAGAGTGGACAAAGTGGCCCTGGTCTCACCCTGGGATAATCGGGGCCTTGCAGTTAGGGCTGGCTTCCCTCCTGAGCCCTGGGCCAGCCTGGTTCTCCAGGCGGGGGTGTTTCAGAATCCTGAGAATACTGGGGCATCCACGTGTCCCACCCCTCAGATGGGCCTGTTCATTTAGCATAGCATGGCCCTCCACCAGGCGCACCACCCACTCGCCCAAGTTTGAGCCCAGCTTTCCAGCCCAGATCCTGGGATAGTCTGCCCTCTGCTGATACAGATAACTCCTGACCACCAGCCCTCCCCTCCAGCCCTGGGTTCATCTGGTGACCCATGTGGTGTGTCCTTGAATCAATGTCTTCAATGTCAACTGATCCGCTTAGCTGCCCCTCCTGAAAACACTGACCCGTCCAGCATCAGCATCTACAAAATACAGCTGTCTCATGGGAGCAATACATGTGGTCAACAGGCAGCGGCAGGTCCCTGCCGGTGATGCCACTGGTGGGCCACGTGCTTTAGGAGCTTTATTTCACACCCCTCAACACACATACATACTACTTGCTTGACAGACTACAGCAAAGACCAGATATGTTAAGTACCACTCACCAATGTCGCCACCCAATAAACAGGTATACTTTGTTGTTGTTTAGTCGCTCAGTGACTGTGTTTGACTTTTTGAGACCCCATGGACTGTACCCCACCAGGCTCCTCTGTCCATGGGGATTCTCCAGGCAAAGATACTGTAGTAGGTTGCCATTTCCTTCTCCAAGGGATTTCCCCAGCTCAGGGATCAAACCCATGTCTCTTGCATCTCCTGCGTTGGCTGGTGGATTCTTTATCACTGCACCACCTGGGAAGCCCCAATCAGGTATACTAGCTTTGTGAAAATTCCCTTGTTCTTTTTCTGTGCTCCAGTGTCCTCATCTGTAAAATAGCTACAGGTGCCCCACCACGTGCCCACCTCACCTGTGGATCTGAGGCTAAAATGACTTGAAATTAGTTGTTAAATTTATTTTTTTAAACATTTTATTTTTAAGCAATATATAAAAATAGCATTCTCCTTTAACCTTTGGCCGTTCCTCAGGGCATGTGGAATTCTATCTAGGTTGCTGACCCCGGATGGAACCCGCATTGGAAGGAGGGAGTCTTAACCATTGGACAACCAGGGAAGCCCCCAGTTGGTCAATTTAAAGCCTTAAACACAGACCCGGCTCGTCTGGTTGCTCCGTTATGTGTGTTTCTCCAACATGACGGTTCTGACCCCTGGGGCTGCGAAGGAGGCCAGCGGCGACCAGAGCCGGGCAGGATCCGCCGCTGATGCCATCCTCCGCCCCCCACCCCCTTCCAGCAGGCCTGCACCCAGCCCGCTCCGGACCAGCCCCCCCACGGTGAGGGGACGCGGCACCCAGCACCCTCTGTCCCTGCTCAGCTGTCGCAAAGGCGATGGGCCCGCGGGGAAGCACACCGGCCCTGGAGTCACACCCGGGCCCCAGTCTCAACGCGGCCCCTGATCTTCCTGTCTCAACTTCCCATCCTCCACACGGCCCCGCTAACGGCTTAGCAGAGAACTGACAGCGCGCCCTCGCCCAGGGCTCACCTACCTGGGCGCCGCTCTCGGCCCTCCTCCCGATAGGTGCGAGCGGGGCGGGCCCAGGAAGCGGGTGGGGCTGCGGGAGGGGTGGGAGGCGCCCCTTCCCATCTCCAGCCCTCTTATTAGCGGGGACGTGTTAATGGAAATTCACACCCAGGTGCTAATAAACAGTGGGCCGCTCCAGGGCTTGGAGAGCGAGGGGAGGCGCACCCCAGGGGAGGGGGCTGGCCGATGAGCCCCACTTATCTGTGAAAAGACTTGCTAATAACTTTAATTCCCCGTCCTAAACCACGGGGCCTTTACCATGCAAATAGATTTTTCTAAACTGGGCAGGGTCCTGGAGAAGACTTCCCGCTCAGCTCCCTAGGGCCCTGGGAGGGGAGAGAGAGTTGGGGGCGGAGGCGCGGGAAGGGGGAGGATCAGTGAAGGTGTGAGGTCCCGCCCCCTGCGGGGCCTCGGCTTTTGGATCCCACTCTCTATAACCAAATGCTGGCCAGGGTGCGCCAGGACTCCTGAATTACTCAGTGACCCCCACCCCACTCTGAGTTACTGCCCCTCCTGGCCTGGGCCAGAGCATTGGGAATGATCTCTGAAGTGGTTTCAAAACAGATCAAAATCAACCTATAAATAGATAAACCGTGCTACACCCATGCAATGGAATATTACTGAGCCATAAATATAAATGAAGTACTGATACACGAGAAAATATGATGCTTTCATTCATATGAAAGTCCAGAATAGGCAAATCTGTGAGCTAGAAGAAACAGATGAGGGGGCTGGGGTGGAGAATAGGGGGATGGAGTAACAGGGAATCACTGCTAAATGGTTACAAGGTCTCTTCTGAGGGGTAGTAAAAATGACCCAAAATAAGACAGTGGTGATGGTTACCTAACTATGAATATACTAAAACCATTGAATTATGTACTTGAATGCATTTCATGGTATAAATTATATCTCAATAAAGGTCTTTTTAAAAATGCCAAGGTCAGTATTTCAAAGATGCTTGAGGGGGCAGAGGGGAAGAACTGAGCATCCATAGATGGCTGAGGAGACCCCTCCCCCAGTCCCCAACCCCCAGGCTTGACTGCTCACCAGACCCCCTGAATGAACCGAGGTTTCCCCTTCCCCCCTACAGCACTTCCCTAATCTGCATCCAAGCCTAGCTCCAGGTCAGCTCTGCAGATCTGGATACTACCGATGGACCTCTTATCTTGCCTGAGCCAGGCCTCTGGGAGGTCACAGCTATTTAAACTTGGGACTGACCCACCTGTGTTATTTTATGTCCCTAAACAACGTGGGAGCAAAACCAGAGTGAAGGGAGATGGGAGAATCCCAGGGTCCAGGCCTTGATGCTCCAGCACAAGGGCCACTGGACTTGGGACACATGAAGTGAGCCCTTGGAGCGGGTGTCCTGTCAGACCCGGGAAAGAATGGAGCAGGCAAAACCCAGGCAGGGCCGAGAGCTCGGATTCTGGAAGCCGTACTCGGGCTTGAGTGCTGATCCTTGGTTTATCCTTCTACAAAATAATTACTTAGGAATAAAATGTGTAAAGACCCGGTGCACAGTAAGTATGCACTAATGGAAACACATTTTCTACAGAGATACTTGGTTTTATCCAGGTTCAAAGAAAGGGTGGACAGACTCAGCTTGTGCCGCTTTCTCAAATGAAGCCCCGCTCCCTTCAGGCGGGCCCATCGGGAATAAGGGGGTGCTAAGACCAGGCTGAGGGCAAGAAGGAAGGGGTCTGAGGCTGTGTGCTTTGGGGACTCCCAAATCTCTGACGTCCTTTGGATGAGGGGAGGGAAGCTTTGTGTCCCTATGGAGGAAGAACTTGCCAGCTGACACCAGCACAGAGTTTATTCACAAATAAATAAATACATACTAGGCAGAGCTCCTGCCTGTTAACAAGTGTCTACCCTCTGAGCCCCTCCATCGCGGGAGGGGTTGCGGAAGTCCGTCCTAGGTGGGGACCGGCTTTCCCTTTCAGCGATGCCCATGCCGGTATCTCCGGTGCCCTCTTTCAGGAAAGGGAGTCTGGAGAGGGACCGCTTCGAAGGCGCAGAGGCCAAAAAGGCGTCGGTGCTCACAGAACTGGGCTCCAGATGTCCGCCGTCACTTCAACTTCTCAGGCCGGCGGCCACTCCAGGGGCAAGAGGGGCATCGAGGTCTCCAGCAGGGCCAGTACGTCGCCGGGAAAGAGCTGGAGGAGACAGGGGACAGCGTGGTCCTCAGCGTGGGGCCGCCGAGCTGGGTGTCCGCGCTCGCGAGCTCCGCTCTCAGGGGGGCCTTTGGCGTCCCCAGTGGCCCCCTCCCTCCCCTCGCCGCTCTGGCGCCCCGCGCCTGCCAACCGTGTCGCTCCAGAGAGCGAGCAGGCGGAGCCAGGCCGCCGATGGGGGAGCCCCACGGGGGGCTGATCCCCTGAGTGTGAGGAGGGGATATGAGACGGTAGGTAGTGCCACCCCACGACGGCACTGAGCCGGGAGGGACTTCCGCGCGAAGAAGGGCGATACTAACCGGGGATGAGGGGCTCGGCTCCATCGCCGGTCCTTCCGGGCACGCCGCCCCGCGGTCGTTAAGCACCGGAGGGTCGCGCAGCTCGGGCGCTGCCAGGGCTCCGGGGCAGGCGGGCGGGGACCTCCAGGACACCGGGGCGCCCGCGGCCGAGCCTGAGCAGCAGCCTTGCCTCTGCGCCTCCGCGGGGCCGCCGTCGGGGCACAGCGCGCAGCCCCGAGAGGGCGCCGCGTCGCCGCGTTGCCGGCGCCGGCGCTGCAGGCTGTCCTCGCTGAGGCCCAGCACGGCCGACAGGTGTCCGATGTAGCGGATGGCCAGGCGCAGCGTCTCGATCTTGGTCAGGCTCTGGCCGGCGGGCGCCACGGACGGAGGCAGAAAGCGGCGCAGCTCGTGGAGGGCGCGGGCGAGCGTGCGCATGCGCAGCTTCTCGCGCTCGCTGGCGCTCTGCCGCTGCCCAGCGCCCAGGCGGCCGCCGCGCGCCCCTCGCCTCCCTGCTGCCGGCCCGCGGAGGGAGGCGCGGGTGGCAGGGCTCCCGGGGCTCGGCACGGGGCTGCAGGCCGGGACGCTGCCCCATGAGTCCGGGGACGAAGCCGGGGAGCAGCCGCAGTCCGCATCGGCGGCCTGTGGCGGCTGAGCTGAACCCCAGCCTGCCGCGAGCATCCAGGACTCAGAGAGCGGAGGGCACAGGGACTGGGCCATGGCAGCGGCGGCGCGTCTGGGGGCTGGCGGCCGGCGACCGCTTTATCCCCGAGCCCCGAGGTGTGAAGTGGCCCCTTCCAGCCCGCATCAGCACTTCAAAGGGGGCTCGGGGGCCTGGCGGGGGCGGGGCTTGACCCTTTGAACCAACGTTGGGGGTGGGGGTTGCGGGGGGCGAAGGTGTCGGCCTGTTGGCTGCGCCAGGTTGGCCCCACCTGGGCCCTCGCATGGGCACCTGATCCGGACACTCCGGCCTTCTGCTCGCGCCAGTGGCAGGCGCTGTCCAGGGTGTTGGACCAGCTCGGCAGGCTAACAGAAGCCAGGTCAGGGAACTGCAAGTTCTGGTACCTAGGTTTGCGGCTGCCTTCACCTGTCGGAAACCTTTTGCAAATACTTGTTTTCTTGAGGGTTTTTTTTGGTGGCTCGGAGGTAAAGAATCTGCCTGCCAATGGAGGAAACATGGATTCGATCCCTGGTCCAGGAAGATCCCACATGCCTCAGAGTAACTAAACTCAGTGCACCACATCTATTGAGCCTGTGCTCTAGATAGAGCCCAGGAGCGGCATCTACTGAAGCCCCCGCGCACCCTAGAGCCGGTGCTCTGCAACCGGAGAAGCCACCACAATGAGAAGCCCATGCACCACAACCAGAGAGTAGACCCCGCTTACCCGGAACTAGAGAAAGCCCACGCAGCAACCAAGATCCATTTATTTCACGGCCAGAAATAAATGCTTTAAAAAAAAAAAGTTTTCTTGAATCTTCGTTTCCAGTTTGTATAACTGGAGAGAAAGAAATGGCGACCCACTCCAGTATTCTTTCCTGGAGAATTCCGTGGACAGAGGAGCCTGGCAGGCTACAGTTCATACAGTCCACGGGGTCGCAAAGCGTCGGACATGACTGAGTGACTAACACAGGGACGCTGTAGCAGCAGGTCCATGGACTCCTGTAGAGGTCAGGAGGGAGTGGGGCCCTGGTTCCACGTTCCTCCTCCAGGGCAGACTGGTCCTGGGTGCACCCTTCCCCGGTGGTGGTGAGTGGGAGGGACGAAGCTATCCTAGGTAAATCCAGCAAGCTGGCAGAATCTGGGCAGGCTGGTGAACCAGCCCTGCTGCCCTCCAGGACACTCTCAGCCTGGCAGGGTCAAGGGCTTGGCCTGTTGCCACAGCTGCCACCTCTGGCCCTTAGATGGTATCCCACCACTTTGGGGCAGGTATAACAGGCTTTGCCAATGAAATGTGAGTGACAATGACACAGAAGAAGCACTTAAGAAAATTCAGAGTAATTCCCTGGTGGTCCAGTGGTTAGGACTCAGCAATCTTACTGCAGGGGCCCCAGGTTCTATCCCTGGTCAGGAAATAAGATCCCACAAGCCACAGCATGGCAAAAAAAAAAAAAAAAAAAAAAAAAACCCATCCCTTCATGATAAAAATTCTCAGCAAATTTAGGCTAAAGGAGAACTTTCTCAGTCGATGAAAGGCATCCTCAGAGAACCTACAGCTCACAGCATACTAAATAGGGAAAGATTGAAAGATTTCCTTCAATACTCAGAACAAGGCGAGGATGTTGGCTCCTACCCGCACCTTGTCAATGTTGGGGGGTGGGGGTCTCACCTGTGGAATAAGGAAAGAGAAATAAAAGGCATATGGATTGGAAAGGAAGAAATAAAACTGTCTCCATTTATGGACAACATGATTGTCCACTTGAGAAAGCTAGAGTATCTGCACCGCCTGCCTGACCCCTCGGGTCTGAGTTTACACGTTGTCACAATAGCTCCTTCATGCATGGAGGTTTGCTCTCCAGCTGGACTGTGAAGTACTTGGTGTCTGGTATCATGTCTTCCAAAGAAGTGGTGTCTAGGGTTTCTTTCAGAGGTCTACTGTTTTGCGTCCCCCAGGCTTCCAGTTCTGTGAGACTCATGGGTGAGCTGGTTTGCAGCAAAGAAAGCCAAGTGACTTGGTAACTTCTTCCTGAGCATCTCTGCTCACCCCCACCCCTCTCCCCTTGTCTCCTTTCCCTTCTACTGCCCTTGGCCTCTTCTAACACTCTCTATACCTCCTACTCTTCAGTCTGTCCCAGCAGCCCCAGATGCTTATGCCCATGATCACATATAGGAGAGACAGTGCCAACCCACCCCTGGGGAGAAGGGGTGGAGTCCATCCCATGGGCACATGCCACAGGGCCCATCGGCTCCCTAGGAGAGCCTGGCATACAAGGACCCTCCCAAGCCTGCAGCTGTCAGCATGGTCTGCCTTTTCTGGATCCTGGACAATGGATGGGATTCTAGATCCAAGCCAAGAACCTGGCATTAGACCCCCCTTTAATCCCACTTGACTGGAGCTAACAAACAGTGGGAATAGGTTGCACATTCAAGTAGGAGGAGGTGCAGAGTCAACGCTGGCCCAGCAGGAGGGGTGGGGTCCCAGGGGGCTCTGGGCATGCTGTTGCCAACCTCTGAATGTCAACCAATTCCTCCAATTCCCATATGATTCTGATTTCCACTTGGTAGCTAATAATTGAGGAAACTCAGAATGACCAGGCTTCCCTGGTGGCTCAGACGGTAAAGATTCCACCTGCAATGCAGGAGACCCAGGGTTTGATCCCTAGGTTGGGAAGATTCCTGGAAAAGGGAATGGCTACCCGATCCAGTGTTCTTGCCTGGAGATTCCATGGACAAAGGAGCCTAGTGGGCTACAGTCCATGGGGTCACACAGAATCAGACATGATTGAGTGACTAATACTTTCACTTCCAGAATGACCAAAATCTCCTAAGAAATCAGCCACCCTTTTCTCATATTGTTACATTATTATTTATTTGAAAATCTAATACATGCACGTGATTAAAAGTTGAATAAGTACAGAGGGCATATCAAATCTCTTTACTCTTCTGCCTCTGAGGTCACCAATTCCTAGTCCAGGGAAACCACCATGACTGGTTTGTGGGCAACAATGCTCTTAAAGTGAATTTTTGTTAAGTACAAAATCAACTAAATCATTCTTTAAACAAGAGGCCATATGTGTGTGGGAGGTAGACTGTTGATCCTGAAAACACAGCTCTCGCCCCTGAGGATGCTCAGATCTGAGAGCCAACAGTTAACATTCATTGCTCACTTACATGAGAGCCACCAAAAGCTATGGAGCAAGAGAGGGATACCATGCGTGGCTTGTGATGGGAAGATCTTGGGTGTCAGGGTTGAGAGAGGGTTAAAAGGATTCAGGGGTGTCCTTGGAGGCCGAGAACGCACACACAAACAAAAAAACTACATGAGAGAGGCGGGGTGGATGGGAGGGTTCCACCCTCAACCTCAGTCTTTCCATCTTCAGCTCCAAGGCTGACAAATTGGAGGTGCCAGCTGGAATCCCTCCCTCTCCTGTGACCCCTCAAGGCCCACTGTGTGCAAGGCTATGGTCAGTGGGCATGATGAAGCCAAGTGGGGGCAAAGGAGGGACCCCCAAGCCGGAGCCTGGGCTCTCCAGGCTCCCATCAGCTGGCCTCCCTCTTCCCCGGGCCCCCATGCCTCTCGCACCTTTGATCTTCTTATCGCCAGCCCCTCCGGTGGTTTCATTAGGGAGCTGCCCCAGTTAATGAGTTCTCCGGGCGGCAGGGCCCACACGCCCTCCCGCTGGGCTGAGGCCTTCACACCTCTGGGGCCTGTGTTTTGACAAGTGCCAGAACCAGTGGCTCCTGCTCTCCCGGCCCGAGCCTGCCTTCGCCTGCCAACGTGTAAGGCTGGGAAATGAGGCCTTGGGGCAGCCCCACTGAGCGGAGGTGAGAGTTCAGGGGGTCCTCGCCAGGGTGGGGGCAGGCAGGACAGGGCAGCACCCCCTTGGACTGGGGCCTGGGTCTCAACCTTCCCGCTAGAAGCCAGCCGGCTGCCTCGGGTTGATCCTGGGCACTGCCCCCTCCCAGCTCCCAGCCCCTCTGACAGGAGAGTGCTAATCAAAGGTGCAATGTCAGTCTTCCCCTCGCAGCCCCTAATCCCGACCCCGCCGGAGCCAGAGCCCCCAGGAGAAGGAAGCGGCTCTCCTACTGCCAGCCTGTTTAGCATCAGCAGGGACACCTCCTGGGAGGCTCCTAATTTGGGTGTTCCCTGCTGCTGGGGATCTTCCCGCCACACCTCGGCGCAGGTCTGAGAGAAAGGCCCTTTCAAGGAGAGTGATTGTTGCTCATGAAGCCCCACCTTTAGGCAGCCTAGGACACCCCTCCTAGGGGTGTAGCTTAGAATCGGATCCCTGTTCTGCCACATACCACCTGTGTCACTTGGGTAACTCAGTCTCCATCTCTTCCATGAATACCTGCTGTGCTGATGTTGCAAGAGTATCAAATCATCCCGCACAGACCATACTTCGAGCAGCGCCACATGCATGTCCCTGCGGTCACTTGGGGCCTGGCATTGACCTGGGCCTCGGCCGGATCCCAGCTCACATGCGTGCTGTGATGTGGATGTTGCTGCTTCACTTGGTAGTTAAGGAAATGGAGGCGCAGGGGGTGGTCCTATGTCACATGGCCAGTAGGGGCAGAGCCAGGGTCCGTCTGGTGCTGTTTGGGACCAAAGTGAGTGTCCTGTCCTCACACCAGCTCCCCTGTCTCCTCGGGAAACCTCCAGTGGCTCCTTTCCTCCTGGAGGGCCGCCTCAAGTGTGAGGGTGCAGAAAGAGGGGGTGATGCCCTCTAGTCCTCAAGGCCCCTGAAACCTCTCTACAAGTCACCCAGATCTGTTGAGATGTTAAAAATGTAAAGCATTTCCAGATCCACCCTGGACCTGCTTGAGCCAGAAACCCTGGAGGAGATTCCAGGTATTTAAAGTGAAATGTCCTGAGAACGATGAAGCTCAGCCACTTTTGAGAAGCCGTGCCCTACAGTGAGCCCCCTCCAATCCGGAGAGTGGAAGGGGCATGGGGAGTGCCCAGCCGCCACCATGGAGCCTACGCTCCACTGCGTCTTGGACAGATGAGGCCGTGCTTGTGTTGGAGGTGGGGCTGCAGCCGCCTGGAGCCCAGAGCCAT